CTACTGTTTGTGTTCAGGCTGAATTTTCGCCACGAGGAGGTCTTGAGGCTTCTTTGCAGCAGAGCGGAGAAGCAAATAAACGAGTGCTGCGCACAAGACGTGTCGAACCTATTTAACGCGTAAACCCTAAACCCTTAACCCTTAACCCTAAACCCTAAACCCTAAACCCTTATCCTTGGGCATGCAGCAGCCCGTGAGCCCTCGAAAAGCATCAGACGCATTCAGCGCTAAAGCAGCAAACCCTAAAACGCAGTAAAACGCTTTCAGTGTGCCCACAGAGTCCCTAATTATGGTTTAGGGTTTAGGGTTTAGGGTTTAGCGTTTGAGGCTCAGGCGTAAGAACCCTCGAGGGCTTGGGGCTCCAGAACTGGGGCCCCACGAGGGTTTAGGCTTTAGGGTTTAGGCTTTAGGGTTTAGGGTTTAGGGTTTGTAGTTTGCGAGCAGGCTGCAGCGTCTGGGCCACCGCAGCGAGGGTTTGCTGGCTGCGCTGGGGCGTCGGGGTGTACGTACAGCTGGGGATATGAAGCCGCAGCACATTGCCAATTGTTTATCTGCTGCTGCTGCTTTTAATCTGCGGGACCTTCGTGCTGCTGCAGCAATTGCTGCTGAGATTGTGAGGCAGCAGACTGCCTTCCAGCTTCTCTGCAGCTTCCCTTTTGCTGCTTTTGCTTTTCCGCTTTTGCTGCTGCGCGTCGGTGCTGCTGCTCCCCTGCTTCTCCTTTTTTGCTGCTGCTGCTTTGCTGCTGCTGCTTCTTCCTCCTGGGCTCCTCCTGCGCTTCTCTTGCTGTTGCTCCGGCGCGCTGCTGCAGCACGTTCCTGCTGCTTTGCTGCTGCTGCGCCTCTGCCGCTGCCGCACCTTTGCTTCTGTTGCCCTGTTGCTGCTGCTGCCCCAACTGTGCTGCTGCTTCATTGCGGATACATCTCTTTCGCTGCTGCCTCTGCCCTGCTGCTTCCCCATTGCTGCTGCTGCTGCCTTGCTGCTGCTTCCCTGGTGCTCCTGCCGTTGCGCTGCTGCACTTGCTGCTGCGCTGCTGCTGCATTGTTGCTGCTGCGGCTGCTTGTGCCTTTGCTTCCAGCCCCCCAAAATTGACTCTTTCTCCCCCCAAGAAGTTGCTTCTTGCTGCAGCGCCTTAGCAGCAATGCACTCAGATGTGAGTCCCAGTTATTTGCTGCAGGGGCCCCTCCCAAGTTGCCGCATGCATGCGGGACTCAAGAGAACTCCAGGGGCCCCTGGGGCCCCACAGGGTACTCTTGGGGGCCCCTTTGGGGGCACAGGGGGATTTGGGGGTCACTGATATTTGATTTTATGAAAGAGCCAGGGGACCCCTCAAAAGGGTTTTGGTGTGGGGTGTTGGTCTGTGAAAATTACAGACTGCCACTGCTGCTGCACCTGCCATGCCTCTTGCTGCAGCTACTGCTGCAGCTACTGCTACAGTTACTGCTGCAGCTACTGCTGCTGCTACTGCTTCAGTTTTTATTGCGGCTCCTGCGGCAATTGCTGCTGCAGTTTCTGCTGCAGCTGCCGCTGCAGCTGCTGCTGCAGCTGCTGCAGCAGCACCTGCTGCAGCTGCTTCTGCTGCTGCTGCAGGTGTTCGCAGTTAATGTTGGGCACTTTGCGTCTTTTGTTTGTGGCTGCAGCTGCGGCATCCAGTTTGCTGCTTGCTGGACTATTTCGTTAAATACAGCAGCCGCTTTTCAGGGCCCCAAGCTGTGGGGGTGCTGCATGCAGCAGCAGCACTGAGGAAGACTTGCCAACTTTGTACAGCCTCTTCTGCTGCTGCTACTTCTGTTGCTGCTGCTGCTGCTCTGGCTGCTCTGGCTGCTGCTGCTGCTGTTGCGGCCGCTGCTGTTGCGGCTGCTGCTGCTGTTGCGGCTGCGGCTATTCTCTGCTTGCTGCTGCTGCTGCTACTGCGGTCTCTGCTGGCGCAGTCGTGCTGCTTCTGCTGCAGTTGCTGCTTGCTGCTCGCTGCTGTTGTTTCTGCTGCTGCTGCTGCTTCTGGCGCTAGAGCGAGCTTAGTGCAGGCATCTTTGAATTTATATTTGCTGCTGACGTTAGTGCATTTATCCATTAATGTGAGCAGCAAATATCTTATTTTGTAATTTCTTTGTTTGTGTCTTCTTTAGCTGCCGAGAGCCTGGAGCCACTGGTGCTGCGCCTTGCTGCTGCTGCTGAGGCCCTCGAGCCGTCGTCGCAGGTGCTGCTGCTGCATGCAGCTGCCAAGGTGGGGCTTGTTAGCAGCTGCTGCTTGCTGCAGCTGCTGCTTGCTACAGCTGCTGCTGCCTGCTTCTTTTGCTGCTCCCAGCTGCTTCTGCCAAGGCTCTCACTGCTTCTGTCTCTTCTAGGATGATTCCTTTTGAAGTGCCCGTGCTGCTGCAGCAGCAGCTGCCGTTGTTAGCTGCAGCAAAGCTGGCAGCAGTTGCTGCCAGCAGCACACGGCAGCAGCGCCCCTTGGTCTCTTCATCTCATGTTTCTTTGCTTCGTATTCTTTATTTTTAATCACAAAATATATTTTATTATAATTTGCAAATGCATGCATGCAGCTGGGAATTCAATCTGCTGCTGTTCTTGATCCTCTGGGCACAGCCATAGCGCGGGGTCCGCTGCTGCACGGGGGGTCTGCAGCAGCGGCAGCAGCAGCAGCGACTGCTGCTGCTGCAGACGCCGAAGAATGGCCTGTGCCTGTGGGGCAGCAGCAGCAGCAACGCCCGGAAGAGCAGCAGCTGCAGCAGCAGCAGCAGCTGGCAGGCTCGCAACGGATGCAGCTGCAACAGACGGAGCAGCAGCAGAAGATGCTAGTAATGCTTCTGCATGGATTTTCTGCAGCAGAAAGGAGGCATGAGCTCTGTGACAAAATATTTGACTGTCTTCTAGAGCCCCAAGAAATGGCAGCTGGGGTCGAGCAAGACAGCAGCAGCAGCAGCAGCAGCAGTGGCAGCAGTGCCCCGGCGTTGCTTCCTCCTGCTGCTAGCGCTGCTGCTGCTGGCGCCGTGCTGCCGCATGCTGTTGCAGCAATAGTTGCCCTTTCTCTTGTGAAGCTGAAGGCCTTCGACAGGACAGATGTGATAAGGGCTATTGCAGGTAACTCTAGCCGCTGCTGCTGCTGCTGCTGCTGCTGTTGCTGGCATAGATAGCAGCACGCTTGCTGCTGTTGACCCAGGATAATCAGAAGCAGCAGTTCGCCAGTTGTCCACACAACAAGCAGCCCGTAGCAGCACCCTATGCCTTTCCAGCAGGAACAGCAGCAGCAGCAGCAGCAGCAGCCCCTGCTTGTTGCATGCAGAGGCTGTGATGGCGTCTGACGTGACTACATTCTCTCCGCAGCAAATTACGAATATCCTTTACGCCTTCGAGCAGATCGAGCAGCACAGATGGATTGGTGGGTCGCTGGCCTTGCTGCTGCGAAGAGCAGCAGCTGTTTCGCTGCTGCTGCTGCTGCTGCTGCTGGAGCGTAGCCGGCATCTCCTGTGCCCGTTACTCCGAGGACCTCCAGTGAATCACTGTGCTCTTTGCAGGAGAAACTGGACCCGCAAAGAGGCTTGTGGCAGAGCAGCACGCAGCAGCAGCAACAGCTGCAGCAGCAGAAACAGAGGCGGCAGCAGCAGCAGATGCAGAAGCAGCAACAGATGCAGCAGCAGGAAGAGATGCAGCAGCAGAGGAAAAGATGGTGCGGAGAGCTGCGGCGCGGCTGGCTGGGCATGCAACTGTTCGGATAAAGCAGGTGTGCTCACATTGCTGTTGCTGCTGCTGCATTTGCTGCTGCTGCCTTTGCTGCTGCTGCCTTTGCTGCTGCCGTCGCTTCCATTACTGCTGCTGCTGCGGCCGCCGTATTGATTGCTGCCGCAGCAGCAGCAGCTGCTGCTGCTCCCGCTGCTGCTGTTGTTGCTGCTGTTGCTACTGCTGCTGCTGCTGCTGCTGCAACAGCCGCCAGGGCCCAACGCAACACGGGATTTTCTCAAAGTCCTTATTCTGTGCGCAGCTGTCGCCGCAGCTGCTGGGCAGTGCTGCTCTCTCTGCTGCACGGGCGGCGCTGCAGGGCCAGCAGCAGCAGCAGTTTCTCCTCGCAGCAGCTTTTGAAGGTGCCTTTTGACTGCTTGCTGCTGCAGCCGCTGCTACTGCTCTGCAGCAGCCCCTGCGGCGCCTCCCCTACCCCCCTAGCCTCCTCAGCCACCTGCGTCTGCGTCTGCCGCTGCTGCTGCTGCTACTGCTGCTGCTGCTGCTGCTGCTGCTCAGGGTTGCGGGCTGCAGCGTGTCTTCTCCTTTGCGAACAGTACCGGCGCTGCAGCTGCAAGGAAGTTCGGGGCTGCATGCATCAACAGCTTTGCTGGCAGCTCTAGTGGAGGGCTGGATGGCCTTTGCTGGTGCAGCACAGGGGGCCCCCGGGGAGCCCCCCGGGGGGCCCCCCTCTGGAGTGGGGGGCCCCCACTGGGGCCTGGGCTTGCCTGTAGAGGCCAAGCGCGCTGTGGAGGTGCTGCTGTTGCACTGTGCTGCTGCTGCACACAAGATGGAGGCCCAGCTCTTTCTCCGTTTTGCAGTGAGGGTCTTTTACATCTTAGCAGCAAAAATGACAAACAAATAAATAAATACTTTTAAAGAATATTCGGGAACTTTTGGGGAAAGTACAAGGGGTCTCAAAGTCCTCTTTTGCTGGCTCAGTTGCTGTTTGCTGCAGACAGCTACGGCAGATCTTGCTGCTGCAGGCAGCAGCTGCAGCAGCGGCGGCAACAGCAGCAGCAGCAGTTTGCAGCGGGCTACGCGGGCTGCTGATGGCCTCGCCGATGCTGATGCTGCCGTTGCTGCTGCTGCTGCTGCTGCTGCTGCAGCACAAGAAAGAGTCTTGTTCTCGCGGCTGGCCCGGCTTGACGTGCCGTTTCTTATGGCGTTTGCTAACGCGGTTGCTGCTCCCCGTACTTGTGGAGCTGCTGCTGCTGCTCAGCAGCAGCAGCAGCAGGAGCAGGAGCAGCAGCAGAATGAGACGGGCTTCTTGAACTTCAGGCAGCAGCTGCAGCGGTTCTTACCCCTCACGCTGCTGCAGGAAAAAACAGCAGCCGAGGTGTACAGACACGCCGTCCCTAGGCAAGCCTGTGGAAGCCCGGCTTATTTGCTGCAGCACTGGCGAGTTTCTGCTGCAGCAACAGCAGCAGCAGCAGCGCAGCTGCCGGAGCCGCAGCGCGAGATGCTGCAGCAAGGAAAGCTGCTGCCTGCAGCAGCCAGTGCTACAGCAAGTGCAGCAAGTTTTCTTGTAGGAGAACTGCGGTGTACAGACACTGCAAAAGTATTGCAGGCTCCTGCTGCTTACGCCCGGCGGCTCATCGCGTGAGGCATTTCGTGCTGCTGGTGCCCTGGCCCTTGCTGCTGTTGCTGCTGCTCTAGCTGCAGCAAAACAACAAGCGCAGCACTGGCAGCTGCTGCAGAACTACCAGCAGAAGCTGCTGCTGGAGTGACAAAAGCAGCGGCTGCTGGAGGAACATAGTGCTGCTGCTAGCACTGCTGTTTCAGAAATCTACCTAAACGCCCTGCTGCAGTTGCTGCTAGAGCAGCAGCAGCCGCTGGTTTTGCTGCTGCTGCTGCTGCTGCGAAATAGCGTTTATCTGCCCTTTGCCGTGTGCGTTACAGTTTTGCTGAGCTCGCGCAGCCCGGGCGTTTCTCAACTTCTCTTCGCGAGCAGCAGCGGCTACACGCGTCCCAGAGTCCCGGCAGCAGCAGCAGCAGCAGCAGCAGCAGCAACAGCAGCAGCAGCAACAGCAGTGCCCTGGAAGCGGGACCCGAGCAGGTGCTTAATGCCCTCCTCAGCCCCCTCAAAGCCAACCCTGGGCTTTTTCCATCGGCAGTATGTGCTGCTGCTGCTCGTGTCGCTATGGAGACAGGTGAGACTCTGGCTGCTGCTGCTGCAACCGCTGCTGCTGCAGCAGCTGCTGCTGCTGTTGTTGCTGCTCTGGACCTGCTGCGTATTATTTTTGTTCCCTTGCTCAGGCCCTAATCGTGAGCTTGTCAGCAGCAGCAGCGTTTGCAGCTGCCCTTGTCACTGCAACGCAACCGTGCGTTACAGCTCTCCACCAGATGCTGCTGCTGCTGCTGCTGCTGCTACTTAATTTGCAGGCGTTGGGGACCCGTTGTTTCTGGAGAGAGTTCTGCGGCGACTAGCTTGCCCAGGAGACCAGCCTGGCATTAAGCTGCCCCATAGCAGCAGCAGCAGCAGCAGCAGCAGGCCTGAAGAGCTGCTGCCGGCTGCAGCATTCCTTGACTTGCTGCGAGGTGCTGCTGCTGCAGCAGCTCTGACTCGCCCATCGCGGGAGGCTCTAGAGACCCTTTGGCGAAGGCACAGGGACAGTTTGCTGCAGCGAGTAAGCCGAAGGGCACATACCTGCTGCTGCTGCGGCTGCTGCTGCTGCCGCTGCCGGTGTACATGCTGTTGCTGCAAATTTGTCCACTTCAAACGTTGCTGCTAATTCTGCTGATGCTCAAGTCACTTGCAGCGGGTGTCGTTTCTAGTGTTTGCGTTTGCTGCTGCTGCTGGTGCTGCTGCTACTGCTGCTGCTGCTCTTGTTGTGGCTTGTACAGGCTGAGCTGTCAGCTGCAGCGATGGCACCACTGCAACGGCTGCAGCTGTTGGACCTGCCATTTGTCATCCGAGTGCTGCAGCAGCAAATAGCGGAGCTGCAGCAGCAGCTGCAGCAGCAGC